GTATATTAATATACTGCACAACTAACTACTTAGTTGCCAAACTAGAAACTCTTACTTCTCCCCAACAATCAACTCCACACCTTGGAAAAGTCTCTCTCTGTCTCTCTCTCTCTCTCTCTCTCCTTCTGGTGATACTGGGGTTTGAACTCAAGGCTTCACATTTTCTAGGTAGGCACCCTACAACTTGATCCATGTCCTCAGCCCCCTTTTGCTTTAGTTGTTTTTAGGATAGGGTCTTGTGTTTTTCCCTGGGGCCAGTTTCAGACTACCATTCCTCATACCCAAGACTTCCACGTAGCTGAAATTATAGACGCTCACCACCATGTCTGGGTTATTTGTTGAGATGAGGTCTTGCTAACTTTTTGTCCAGCTGGTCTTGATCCTCCCACTTTTCAAGTAGTTGAGATTATAGACGTGAGCCACCATACCCAGTCAGATACCCTGGAAACTCTTAAAGCTGTCCACTGTGTACTTTTCTTTAGTCCCACTGCCATCCCTTATGGTACAAGTTGTCACTGTTTCAGCCTTAGACACATTGGAGCCATTTTTTTCCTGAGGGTAGGTCCTAAAGGGAGTCTATAAGGTGGGAACTCTGGTCAAAATGTGTGTGTCAACTCATAAGCACATGCAGGCAGTGACATGCTCAGACTACCACCAACTGGAGGACTGCATTCTCCTGGCTTATCCTCCTTCTGGGGAATCCTCTCTTTGACTACATTCTCCCAGGCTATTCAAATTGTCGTCTCTTGTCCTTTTGTATCTTTGTATAGTAGATAAGACTGAATTTCCAGAAGTTAAATGTTAACTAACACATTTCCAAAATGCACACACACACACACACACACACACACACAGACACACACACACACAGACACACACACACAGACACACACAGACACACACACACACACACACACACACACACACCCCCCATCCTAAATTTCATCCCTTCCTATGAACTTTAGAAAATGCGTACCTGCAGACTGAGTCCCTAAAGTATGGCACACCATGAAATCAGGTCTCTGGAAAACTGAGAAATTCACTCTGGTGTGTCTTGTTAGAATTTTTAATGGGGAGTTATAATGTGATATTTCACTAAGCTTATAATTTATGCATTTTACTATCTGTGTGTTCCACTTCAACTTGAAATGTAAAAATAAAAGATTATTTAAAAATAAAGTAGCACAAATATTATCACAGCTTTTCATTGTTAAGATAAATTAAAAATTCTTCACAGCCCCTTCTTGTCTTTCCAGAATCACTTTCTACTTCAGTGTCTCTCAATCTAAAGATATTAATCTTTTAATAGTTTTTTGAGACAAAGTCTTACTTACAGCCTAGGCTGGTCTTGAACTTGTGATTCTCCTGTCTCAGCCTCCCACGTACTGGGATTACCAGTGAGCACCGTCATGCCCAGCTTGATCTCTTAATTCTTTGAATTTTCACATTTTTATGCCTATTAGTCTTTGAATGTACAAGTTCTTCTGCTGTAAGTCTCTTCTGTCCTTAGAGTTTCTCCCATTTTTATCTTCAGTCGCAATTTAAATATTATTTTCTTAGGGAGGGTAGTGTTGACATTCTAGATAGGGTGACTTCTGTTACATGCTCTTATAAGCCCTCTGTTTTATTTATTGTCCTCAAAGCCCTTTAATTGCTTGTTTCATACCTGCTTTCCCTGCTAGATCATAAACTTCCTGAGGACAAGAATTATGATCACAGCACCTGACATACTGCTTTTATTTCTTCATTCTATTCCAGATTTTGTAATCACGTCAACACATATATAATGAAGTCTACACAATGACCAGATGAGAACACAGAAGTAAAATATGCGGGAATCCATGTTGGAAAAAATAAAAGTACTCTCTTTAACCTTAAGAAGAACAGATTGAAAGATGAAAAATTCCCTTTCATTGCTGCTTTTATGACACTGATAAAACAATAGGAGACAATCTGCAGAAGGGCTGAAGTTTACATTCTAGGATTTGTTGCTGGATTGCAGGCTTTATAGTGTCAGTATCCAAGTCTCCTCTCTTGCTCTTCCTAATATTCCACTTTTTGCAACAAATTCCCCTGCTTAAAACCTTGCAGTGACAACCAGGATAAAACTCAAGTTCTCAAATAACTTCTCTATGGTCTGTTCCCCACTTTCTTCTCACCTTATTATTCCAGACTTTCATGCATTCTTTATATTTTGAGTCCCAGGCACACTGGTCTTCTTTCTGTTCTTAAAGGGATTAAAGCTTTTGCTATTGCCTCTCTTAGTTCCTAAAGTGTTGCCACCTACTCACCATTGTGCCTTAATTCAAACACTCCTCAAAGGGAGTGTTCTTGACCTCTTTAGCTAAAGTACTGGATGTTTTCATCCAGTGGCACTCTCTACCATTTTGCAGTCTGCAGAAACTTACGAGCACCTGACATAACATGACTCATCTATTGTTCACAAGATTAATGTCTATATGTCCATATGAAGTTGGAGCCCTGTCTGCTGTTTATTGAAAATATCTCCAATGACTAAAATTGTAGCACATAGTAGGTGATCCATAAATTTGTTAACAGAATCATTCTGGATATGCAGGTGAAGGCTAAACAAGTTAGCCCTGGAAAGACTTGGTGAAAGACTTCCAAGAAGAGTCCAAAATGTCAAAGCAAATGTGTGGTTTTCTAAATGTAACTAGTGACCCCTGCTGGAATATTTACCAAGGGATCCAAATTCAAGTCTTAACTTTTTCCTAATTGCCACTTGTCTTTTTCCATTCAGTGTTAAATTGTTAGTATAGTTGTGAAATGAGTGATCAATGTCTTTTGAGCATCCTTCTTCCACCTTAGAGAAATCCCATCTCCCTGAACGACTATTCTCTTTCACTGCTGACTCATCAATTTGTGCATTTCGCATTAACCTTAGAGAAGAGTATTCGGGAAGCAGAGAACTTTCTCAGATCCCCTTCCAAATCTTATTGCATAAATGAATTCTTTTCTCTGCTCATGTATCTGAAAGATGAGACTTAATCCAGTGAACATGGATAGATGAAAACATATTCCATGAACATATTTCCTAATGTTCTGTTTATTTTCCCTCTCTTGACTCAAGACCAATTTTGAAAATGGTTTTCACCACTAAAAAGCAAAGAATTGGCAAAACGTGTCCTCATGTTGAGAACAGGATCAAAAGAGTTATGCGAGTCTTCTATGAGGGGTCATTAGGAGACATGTGTAGTTGAAAATGCTGGTACTTGCCACAAGGAAAATGAAAAGGATCAGGAATCTCAAACAACAACAAAAAATAGTGAGAATATAGATGTGTGAGAGAATCACGAACTATGTGATGAAACTTTTGAAAGTTATTTTATTTATATTATGTATGGTATATATATATATAATTATATAATATATATATATTATAATATTATTATATTATATAATATATATATATAATTGAGTGTACAACACAAACCAAAAAGACAATATAAGTATTAATCACTATCACTTAAAGACAATCATTGTTAAGAGTTTTAGCATGTAGTCCCCTGTCTTTTGTTGTCTATTCCATTGTCCCATGCATACATACTTCATGAATACAAGTATGTGTTTTCAAAGTTGAGTCAGCCATACTGTTTATATGACTTTACATCCTACTTATTGTAGTGTAGTATGTTATGAAATACATTCATTTTTCTAAGATCATTTTCCCCAAAAGTGTTTGATGTAATTAAATATTTAAGCAGGTAATAATGTGCATGGAACAGCGTTCAAAACAATTAAGGAAGTCTCCCTTTCCTCTTCTTCTCTCTAATTGTAACCACTGCCAAGAGGGGGAGGTTTTACCAGACCATCGTTACATCTGAGCATTACTATACATATAACGCTGAGCATTAGAAAACCGAACCTAGTTAAAAGCTTGGCTCAATTTTACATAACTGATAAGTGGTTGATTGGACTTGACCCAAGTGTCCGACTCACATCCACGCACTTGGTGCCTGGCACACATTACAGCAAAGAAAGTGGTTTCATAGTGTAAGGTGGATAATATAAATCAGTTTTCCCGTGGCCTGTTTGATGCTGGAAGAACCAATGTCAAGGTTGCTGATCCCAAATATTTGCATTAACGAGTAACAAATTATTCTATGACACTTCTGCTTGTAACTCTAATGTGAAGAATACTTGAGGTAAGCTTCAGTTCTCTGTTATATAGAATAATGATGTGGAAATATTGATTTGGGCTAAATCTATAAAGGAAGAGAGCTCAAAATTAAGCCTTTTTGTGAATGACCTTACTCCCTTTAGGAACAGTACATTGTGTGTATGTGTGTACACGTTGGCACATGTGCATACACACTTATATTTATACAAACACAGGACAAGTAAATATATGATATTTATTGGCAATGAGTTCATGGTAATATTTCAGAACCTAATATCCTTTGCACCTTCTTCCATATTTGTACACTTTCACATGTATAGAATTATTCTTTATAATAATAAAATAATATAAACTTTGATAATATCTGAGGTTTTAGATGTACAGATGTGACTAAAATTCATTTCCATTATCCTATTAAAATATGGGCCAATGACCACTGATCAGTCAAAATTATATTTTTACAATGTACACCCAAAGACACACTGAGATTCATGCTTTCTCATAAGGCAATTTAAAAAAAAAGGAATTAAGAAAAAGAGAAGCAATACCTATGACTATCAACGTAATTCTATTTATAAATATAGAAGAAAATAAGCAGGAATATTTTTCAAAATTCTAGAAAGAGGAATCAAAAGAATAGAAACCTACAGGAATTTAAAGCTAGAAACATATCTCAGCTATTTCTACATACAATCTAAAATAGTCTCAAACTTTGTGGGGGAACTACTGTTGAATCACTCTGGAATGATGAAATAAGGTGACGATGTGGGTCTAGTGGTTGGTCAAAGGACAAGGGCTGAAGGGTTGAACTTGGGTCATGCTCAGCCTGTCCCAGTCGGTGCCTGCCTGGGGTGTGAGCTAGGAGGATTTTACTTTGATTGCTCTGGGTTCTTTGGGTAGATAGAAATTAAACATTCTCTTCACTGGCTCAGAAAGACAGCAAAAAGAGCCAAGAATTCTTCCTTCAACTGGTAGTTTTCCTGGAAACTTCATTCTACAGGTTCATTCCTACAGACAAGATACAGAAGTCTGAAACCTAGCAGCCCTAAACTTTGTGCCTAAGTGCACCTCTCCTGGGACTGCAGTTAACTGAAACAGGAATTCAGAAAGGGACCAAAGGCCTGAAGAAGAATGCTCCGAGGCCGGTCCTTATCTGTGACATCCCTGAGTGGGCTTCCTCAGTGGGAAGCCGAACACCTTCCTGTGGAGGATTTATTGCTCTTTGAAGTTTCCTGGGAAGTCACCAACAAAGGTTTGTACTGCTCTTGAGGGTGGCTCTTCCCCAGGATGCTAACAAAAGTAGAGTAGGTCTTCATAGGTGACTCCATTGATTGTGAATTGCCAGTGAGCAAGGGCACCATTCAACTGAATGTATGTTTAGGTTACATGTGTCTTGTTTATTGCAACAGGCAGTAAAAGCATAGACTTGTGTATGTGTTGAAAAGTGAACAAGTCAAAAATGGTAGCTGTTTCCAGGAAGTGGGAGTTTAAGGTAAAAATCTTAAGGCCATGTTGTGACAAATTAGAAATAAAAAGTTAATATATTTTTAATTTTATCATTTTTTCTCAGCAAAGTAATTATTTTAGGAAGAACTGTGTATTATCGAGACCAGTGATTATATGAAACATTTAATAATATGTCTAGTAATTCAAAATTAGCTTGGAATTAAAGTTTTAATTTAGAACCTACTCAGAAGGTCTATTATTATGTTCCTATTCGGAATAATTTTTCTTCAATGCTAGGTATATATAAAAATTATAAAATAAGAAAGGAAATCAAATTGATCAAAATACAATAATATCTTAATACATTATGAACTCATTTGAGCTGCAATGGAGAAGGCACCTAAATGAGTTTTATACACAGGTATCTAAAGTCATAAAAAATCCTGTGGGTTAATATTCTCTAGGTTTAGAGCATCAGTGCTATTGAAGGAATATTAGTCAAGAAAAGGCAGTAGTTTTGAGGGTGAATTCTGAACCAGGTCCAGAGACAGGTGAATAAATGGCAGTATGACCAGTGGGATTTAAAGGACCTGCAATGAAACATGAAGGTGACACACCACTTGTCCCCTCTGGTAATCAGAGCCAGCATCATGCCACAGTTAGAATTGCATTTGACCTCTATTCTGAATTTCAACTTATGCTAAAAGTTCAAAGTTCTCCTGTGTAGATTTCTAAAATTCGTAAACTCAAAATTAACAATCACTTTTTCCTGTGCAGAAGTTCAGAAATGTAGGTAGGGAACAGACCCATTTTTTTTTCTCTGTAGTTATGACAAGGAGCAAAGAGCACACAAATCTTAGAGTAGATGACAAGCATTTATCTGTATCACTTTCTGATGTCCCTTCTCCAGTCACACGATTTTTTTTCTCGCCAGTTTTCATTTACCTTTTATTATTGTTGTACTTGGGGTACATTGTGGCAATTATGAAAGTTCTTAAAATATGTCATAGTTGAATTCACTCATTCCACTCCACCATTCTCTTTTCTCTCCCTTCCCCCATTCCTGAAATAGTATCAACATTCTCATTTTTCCATTTTCATACATAAATTCATAATAATTCCATCATATTCACCCTCCCACACCCTTTCCTTATAACCCCCTCACACACTGGTACCAACCCCCAGACAGGACCTGTTTTATCTTCCTGTCCTCTGTTTTTGAAAAAAAAAAGACATTTTTGTTTGTTTAAGATAGCTATAAGGGGAGTTTCATTTGGACATTTCTATGTATATGTGTATTATAACCCAAATTGGTTAACCCCCTCCAGTTTTTAAATATGTCCAAAGTTCCTGGGAATAGAGCCAACTCCACTCTTCATGAGCGTGCCTTGACATAGGGTTTCCTCTACACAGTTGGCAGCAACTCAAGCACGTAGCTTGTTTGGTGGAAAAATTGAGGCAGGGATCTTTAGCACCAGGAATCAGTCCAAACAACTTCTGCCCAAGTTCCTGCATTTCAGCATGGGCCCTCCTCCTTCCTGCTTTTCTCTCCTTTGACAAACCATGGAGGATCATTTGTGTAGTACACTAGGGAAAACTGCTGTCCATGGATCTTATACTCTAGTGATGTGATCTGATCTGGATCTAGAAGAGTCCCTTGTGCATAGAAAATGTCCAATGGGTTTTTTTTAAATGAAGGAATAAATACATTTACTTTTTAACCTCTGAGCTGCCTTTGATAGTCATTGGCTTTTCTTTCCCCTGGTAGGAAAGGGAACTTTCATGTGTGTAGAAAAGGCCACACAATGCTCTTTACTCAAGCTGACATCTTCAGCGTATGTTCATTTTATTATTTTTCACAGTCTGGCTTTTGATAATTTTTATATACATGAGTAATGATTGTGTCCATTTCTGATAACACATTGGCACTGCAGTTTCTTTTTAAAATTTACTTTGACTGTCACTGTCCTGCAGTTCATGGCCTTGTGATCGTGAGTTCAGCAATTTCACTTCCCTCATCAATGAAATGGATACACAGAGGCATTAAATGATCAAGCAAATGCATTCAATTCTCTTTTTTACTACCATGTAACAAATATGAAAATCCCCATAGTCTAGGGAAATATCCTATTGATGAAAATGTTCTGACTTATAGTCAAATATCAGAGATTTCTGAAACTTTGAAAAAAATCCCTTAAATCATCTGAATATCAGTTTCTTCATAAGCATAATTATTGCAACATGCTTCAGCCATCTTACAATGTTCTGTGGCAAACCAAAAAATGTGTATTTATCCAAGAAAAATTCCCTCAGTGCTAGGACTTTTCCAGGGAATGATGGAAATGTGTGATGTGTAAGAAATGAAGTCACAGCTAGATTATTGGATGTTAATTTTCAGACCTCAGAATAACCTTTTGCAGCTATTTGTATTAACTTCAATTTTGTTGTTTTAATTCATTAATCCATTCCTTATTACCCATTTCTTAGTCAATAAAGATCATCAAGTGCCTAATGGTGCAGGTACTAGGAAACTAGGGTTCAACAAGACAGAACTAATTCTCAGTCTTGCAGAATGTGTGGACTTGCAGGAAGACAGGCATCAATGTTCTGTTATAGTCAAACGTGGTGAACGTGAGGGTAAAAGAAGATTCTCGAAGGCTGTACAGGGTATTATTGTCAGTGGGATTCCTAACCTAGTTTAGGGTTTGGGGAAAGCCCTCATGTGAAAAGACATTTGAGCTGACACCTACAGGTTGAATGGCTGCAGGGAACATGATGGAGAAAGACATTAAGGGGAGGTAATGCTCTGTGTGAGACAACTACACATCCCCAGATGCATGGTGCATATCCAGGCACAGAAGAGTGTCCTGTTCAGAGGTCAGAGGGAAAGGAGGAGCATGAGAGAAGATGGAGTGACCTGCTGGGGCTACATTGTGAGCTCCTGATGAATTCTGAGTTTTAAAGAGTTTGGTCTCTGATCTGGGAACAATGAATAGGATGCCATTAAATTCTAAACAGTGGAAAGTACTAAAGGTCTGCTGTGTCTTACAAAACACACTGTGAGTAGTTGGTGGAGAAGAGAATAGAAAAGTTAGATGGCGGACTACCCTTGGATGGAAAGTTTTACCCAAATGTCAGAAACAAAATGTTTATCTTCTTCTTTGCTCAGGCTTTACCATGTGTCTTCTGTATAGACTTGAGCAGATCCTTATAGACTATGGGCATATTTTATTGAGGATATTCAGGATTACTGTAAGGAGTTTAATGGATTTTGTCACAGATAATAAATGCTAACTTGAGATATAAAGATTTTTGAGACTTGGTGTTCAAATAGATTCTTCCTTCTTAAAGTGGACTAGACATGATTTGTTTTAGCCTTAAGGCAGTATGTTGATGGCCATAATACTTTTACCTGCTTTGTCCTAAACCAGATACCCTAGCTCTAGGTCACGTGGTACAAAAGACATGTGGAACTCAGAAAACTACAGTCAAATGTGAGGTAGAAATCAGTATGACCACAAGTCCTCTATCAAGAGACAGGCATTCTAAAGGGGAGGACCTTGATGTAAGTGTAGCCCAAGAAGCTTGGGAATTTTTATAAATTCTTTCTGAAAATTTTGTGCGCAGGTGTGGGCATGTAGCTCAGAAGAAGTTTGCCTAGCATTCATGAGAGCCTGGGTTCCATCCCTACCACCACCAAAAATTTTATTATCTGCACATGTGGAAAAGTTCTTTCTGAGATGAGAACTTTGATCAGATTTCCAGAGCCTCCATGATTGATGTAGGAACCACAGCTCATTTGAGAAATATCTGTTTAGGTTTATTGCCCACTTTTAAGTCAGATTATTGTTCTTAATGTGTTTTTTTTGCCATTGAGTTGATTGAATTCCTTGTATTTTGTCGAAAGTAATCTCTTATTATATAAACAGTTTGCAAATGCTTTCTTCCTTTCCATGGGCTGTCACAGTACTCTGTTGATTGTTTCCTTTTCAGTGCAGAAGCTTTTTACTTTGATGAAATTCTGTTTGTCTACTTCTGTTTCTTTTCTGTACTTTTGGGGCCTTATCCAAAAAAGCCCTTGCCTTTTCCAGTGTTCTAGATGTTTTCTTTACTAGTTTCATGTCTCACATCTAGGTCTTTAATCCACTTTGAATTCATCTTTAGAACTGGTGAGACGCAGGGATCTTGTTTTATTATTCTGCTAGTGTATATCCCATCTCTCCAACATCATTTACTGAAGAGATTGTCCTCTCACCAATGTGTGTTCTCAACACCCTTGTCAAAATCAGTCATCTGTAGATGTGCGAGCTTGTTTCTAGGCTTTCTTTGTTCTTTTGCCAATACCATGCTGTTTTATCACTATAGCTTTGTAATATATTTTGAAGTCAGGTAGTGCAATGCCTCCTGCTTGTTCTTTTTGTTCAAGATTGCTTTGGCTCTTCAGGGTCTTTTGTACTTCTGTACTAATTTTAGGATTTTGTTTTATTTCTGTGATGAGTGTCATTGGTATTTAGATAGGTATTGCATTGGTTATGATAGTCAGTTTAATAGTAAGACTTCTTCCAATCCATGAATGTGATATGTTTCCATTTTTTTGTATCCTCTCAATTACTTTCATCAGTGTTTTATAGTTTTCATGGTAGAGATCTTCCACTTCTTTGTTTAAATTTTTTCCTAGGTGTTTAAACTTTTTTTGTTATTGCAAATTGATTTGCTTTCTTAATTTCTTTCTTTAGATGAATTCCATCTAAAGTTTGTCATATAGAAATGCTACTGCTTTTGTATGTTGATCTGTATCTTGTAACTTTACTCAGTTCATTCATTAATTCCAATAGTTTTTTGGTGGAGTCTTTGGGATTTTCTATATAAAAGTCATATCTTCTTCACATAGTGTCAATTCTTTCCAGTTTGGATGTCTTTATTTCTTTTTCTGGTCTGTTTGCTCTGGCTAGAATTTCTAATACTATGTTGAATACAAGAAGTTAAAGTGTGCACACTTATCTTGTTCTAGAACTTGACAGAAAGCTTTCAGTTTTCCCCATTTAATATGATGTTAGTTATGTACATGTGTCCCATGATTTGGAAATTGCATAATATATACATATATAGAAATATCACACACCCCCCATAAATAAGTCCAATGTTTATGCATTGAAGACAAAGAAAATAAATAACCATGGTTCTAGAGTTCTCTAAGCCACTGAGCTCCTTTTTATTAATGCAGAAGTATCTAGAAGGAAAATAAAAACTCCTCCAGCTATCGTTTCATACAATTCTTCTGTCACCACCAGCACCACAGCCCCAAATACCTGTCTGTCTTTTTATGGTCCTTTTCACACCACTTCTACAGATTCATCAGCTTGTCACTCCATACATTTCATTCCAATCCTGCTGTCTATAGCCTCAGGACTCCGCAGTCACACTGTCTGAGCTGGGATCCCAACTCCACTACTGCCTGTGTGCTGTTGGACCCATCACAAACCCTGCCTTTGTCTCAGTTTCCCCATTTATAAAATAAAGATAATAATTGCTTCTACCTATAGCAGTGTTGTGAAAGTTATCCATTACAAGTTACTCACAACAATGCTTAGCATTTAATAAACACTCTGTAGCCATTAGCAATTACTGTTAATTTTTCACAAAGATTATTCATAGAATGAGAAAGTGGGATCGTTCATCATCATTCTGGATTTAACTTTGACTGATTCCATGGTTTTCATTGTATGACTTTCTACCTGCAACATAACTACCTCTGCTCCTGCAACTGCACCTTGGGACAGGAGAATTGGATTAGTAGACACACCTCCCAAAGCAGTCAAATGACTTCTAAATTCTATAAGTTGAATATTTTAAAAAAATAGTAATATTTTCCAGGCATTGGCGGCTTATGCCTGTAATCCCAGCTACTCAGGAGGCAGAGACCAGGAGAATCACAGTTCAAAGCCAGCCTGGGCAAATAGTTCAAATAGTTCACGAGACCTTATCTTGAAAAAATCCTTCACAAAAAAAGGACTGGTGGAGTGACTCAAGGTGAAGGTCCCCAGTTCAAACCCAGTACCACAAAAAAGTAACATTTCCCCAAGTTTATATATGTGATCACACATATTATAAATATTACTAGGTCACATGTAAGCATATGATATATATCATGCATTGTACATGCATATCACAATATATTAACATTTATATAACACAATATATTAACATGTAGATGTATATATAAATGAAATTGTATATATTGCATCTATATATGTATATATGTATAATATATATATAATGTAGCATACATTATATATGTGTGTATATATGTTATGGGTATGTGTGTGTGTATTTATACACACATATATATATACATATATATAGAGAGATTGATTGACTCCCATTTTGACTGTTCTATCCTACTTTGAAATAAGTGATTTTCTATAAAATCGGAGTGTTTCTACATGAAAAATTAAGGCTGTATATGCCATGGTAGCTCTTCTTTTCTTGTTTATGAAAGACCTGATACTTTGTCCTTACACTACAGAGAATTCCCATGTTGTTTCAGGAAACTGGATCAATAAAATACAAAGTACTTATCTGAAAGTAAAGGTGAAGTCCAAATTCAATAGCCCACACTGTGGTAAAGCAGTAATTCATTAGTAATATTGAATGTATATTTTTACATGTAGGTAGGAATAAAGCTGTTTTTATTTATAGATTAAAAAATATGTGTAGCCAAGTGCCGGTGGCTGATACCTGTAATCCTAGCTATTCAGGAGGCAGAGATCAGGAGGATAGCAGTTTGAGACCAACTGGGCAAATAGTTCTTGAGACCCTATCTCGAAAATACCCAACACAAAACACCTGCCTAGGAAGTGTGAGGCCCTGAGTTTAAACCTCAGTACCACCAAAAAAAATAAAAAACCAAAAATGTGTGTTGGTGAACTTCTTGGTCTGTATTCCAGATTTTAAAGTGGAAATGATTCTGTCTCTGTGCCATGAACCTACTTACACTGCAGCATGCTAAGTGAGAAATCTGTTACAAAGTATGATAAATAAATAGAACAAAAACTAGAGGAGACTAGTTGGCAATTAGATACGTGTAGATCACAGAGAGACTAAACTGGTGCTAAGTACAGGAACTACCAGGAGGACCCGCCACAGAAAGGCTGGGCAAGAAGAGGTCTAAAGGGCCAAGACATATTCACAGCCAGTCCTCAACCAGTACAGGATGGGCTTTTCAAAAAGTTTTGCATTTTTGTTCCTGATAGACTGAAAGATCATAGTCATAGTACTTACAACTCCGCCAAGGTTATTTGGGAACTACATCTGTCAAGGCTGACTGCACCAGCTGGGGGAAAGAGCTAGCAAATTAACTATGGTTATTTTTTCATTTTGATTCCCCAAATCGTTTTCTTCTTCAAGTAGAGAATTTTTGTTTCCCACTAAGTACTTTAGCAAATAAAAATGTGTTGATATTTACCCAAGTGTATATGAATCTGAAATACATAACTTAATGAACAAGGATATTCTGATATCTCTGGGCAAGATAGGTGGTTACAAATAAAAGAAGGTTTTTAAGAATAAAAATGCAAATAAGGCTTTCAAATGGGAACCTCAGAACTTTATAGCATTTTCCCCTGAGAGGATGAAGATGAAGAAAAAAAGTCTACAGAAGAGGAGAAATAATCTGAAATTTTTACATTTTTGTGGGTAGTGTTTTTAAATAAAACTTTTATGTATTTAAATGGGTTACTAAGATGTGACTCTCACATCTAAAGGAAAACTTTTTTTAGTTTTCTTTGCAAACTATTGCTCTCTAACCTAATTGTCCTCAAGAAATGATGATGGATCATAAAATTTTCCAGGATTTGGGAAAATTCTTAGGTGTAGTTGATTTTAACATAAATTTATGTAGACTTAGATTCATCAAATCTAAGATTCAGATTTGTATTCATTGAGTCTAAGATTCATTGGATTAAGTGAATCTGGCCAGTTTTGGTTTCATCCAGAAGTTTCTCCTTCCGTGTTTTGAATCTTCTCCAGGTGTTCCATGTTGCCTTTCTCACCTGCCGTCTGACCTGTGATTGCTCATAACACTGGTATACTGCTGAAGTGACAGTCTAAATTTGTTTTTGGGAGAGTCGGGAATCTTTCCTTAATGACGAAGTTCTTAAAGATGGTTTGTGTAGGCTTATATGAAAATTGCTGGATTTAGTATTAACCTTTTGGAGTTACATTAGCTCTTGCCTTTTATATTAATGAATCTTGTTGGCATGATAAAGTATTATCAACATTCAGCTTTTGGTCTCACCAAAAAAAATTCTTATATACCTATCTTTTGGCACCCTCCTTATTTTTCTTTTAGGAGTATACAGTTTTCTCTAGCTTTATGTTTTAGTACTGGTAACACCAATGCCAGAGGAAGAAAATGCAACAGCAACTCTAGGAAGAGAAATATATCATGAGACTATGAAAATTTGTATTGTGTTTGTGTCACTGGGTTAACGTCAGATTGGGCCAGGCTCTTTCCCCTTGTCAAAGGTACCTTGATTGATACCTTAGAATGGGAACGACCATTAGTGTGGGGGATTTGCTACCAACTGCAAGCAGCAGTGACTATTCCTTGGGCACACCTAAAGTCCTTCTTGAGCCACTGTAGGAGAAGAGGGGAAAGATGACTATTGCTGAGGGTATGACAATGGCTCTTTGTCCTTACTTTGCACTTCAATTTGAAGGGACTTTAAGTCAAGAAATGCTTTTTTCCAGCACTCTTTTCAGATTTCCTGGAAGTGTTGTACCTGCCTCTTATAGCCCGCATACCACTATGTGCATCCACAGGGGCTTTAAAAAAGCCACAGAATTGTATCCTCAGCAACACGTTAAACCGTTCTTTTAGAAAGTGAAATAAATCTTGTGCTTTGGGATGATAAATGGTAACCTAAAATATGAGAACTGATTTGCATGCCTTCACTACTTAAAACACATTACTAATCCAAACAAGGAAACCTTTTTTCTTTTTAACAGTTGGTGGCATATATACTGTCATTCAGACGAAGGCCAAAACAACAGCAGATGAATGGGGAGAAAATTATTTTTTGATTGGCCCATATTTTGAGCACAACATGAAGACTCAGGTGGAGCAGTGTGAACCTATAAATGATACTGTCAGAAGAGCGGTGGAGGCAATGAATAAGCACGGCTGCCAGGTAAAAGACACTGAGTGATGCTTCACTGGGCAGCTCTCAGTAGACTGTTACGAGCAAACGTTGCGACTTACAGCAGCTCACAAGAGATCTTTCACCTACTTTGGGAAGAAGAGCGCACTTTGGGAAAGACTATGAACTTGGTCTTAAATGGACTGCACTCAAAACGAGTTGTGCAAACCAAGGAGAGGTGTGTAGGAGATATGTGCAAGGCTTGAAGAGCAGAATGTACCGTTCACAAGAGCCCATGAGGTCCCAGAGAGCACCAAAAAAGTATTCCATAGTGAGGGTGCTTCTAGAGTGATAAAAGGGCACGTGTTATACTATTGGGATGAAAGTACATGAACTATTCTGAAGCAAAGAATCTGGTCTCAAGATTCTAAATATAGGAGACATTTCTCCCCAGTCAGTTTGACTAGAGAGTGGACACCTCACCCTGCTGTCAGTGCTCTTGGTGGCCTAAAAAATTAAAGAGCATCAAGTTGTGCTGGTGTCTTGAGAAAGGAGGGATAGAATCATTCCTTTGGAATAGCTGAGGAGGCTGGAATGTTAGATATGCACTTTGGTTCTTTCTCTGGGATTTCTGGTATAAGCATGATTCTACCTTGTAGCTGAGAGTTAACTGGAAGTCAAAACAAGGTACTTTAATTTTTTCTGTTGTATTTTCTGCCTTTCTCTATGGTCTAGGCTCATTGGATCATATGTCAAGTATTAGGTAGTCAGTAGATATTTGTTGAATAAATACATGAATCAATGAATGTCCCCCAAAGAAAACTATTGAAAATTCAATCTCAAAAGGAAAGAGTAGTAAATTAGAAGCAATGTAATGAGGGATTTTCAAAGTTGGCCAAGGCTTGCACATGGGGGAGATGTCAACACAGATATCTTAGTTCTATGGGAAGAAATGACAATCAAATTGGGCTTCCAAGCATTGCAAAATTTGGCCTTGGGTGGTGTCCTAACCATCAAGGTATAAGCAATGTGGCTACATTCAGTTTTCTAGAGAGACTGTTAACTTTCTGCTGAGTTCCAGAAGGGATTTGATGTGATTTATGAAGTTTCATATTACATAGTAGGATAATAACCAATAAAAACGAAGTCAAAAGAACAAGCAAGTTACTATAGAAATACAGAGACCAAAAGGAAAGTCAAAACTTAGATATACAAGTGACTGCAAATACAATGGGCAAAAACCTAGATAGCTAATGCGTGAAAATCTGGACAAGATACAATAGGAAGCAAAGAAGTCAGTTTGAAGAATGTAATAAGATTAGACTTTGAAATGCTGGATTAAATGATAAGGTATCTCAATATCTTGGGTGACATACTGATTAAGACTTTTGGTGGCGACCATGCTGGGAAGCATTTTGGGTCACATCATTTGAACAGGAGTAGTTACATATACTATACACATTTATCTACAGAATCAACTTCTTTTTTTAGCAGAAAATAGAGTAAGTAATACACATAAAGGAAAATAACTGACACTAATGTAAATGTTAAATCCAGCTATGGGTCATTAAAGATACAGAGCATTTCATTTATGACTCTCATAAACACATAGACTAGCTGGGTGAAGTGGCATACACCTGTAATCCCTGTACCTTTGGGAGGCTGAATCAAGAGAAAAAGCAAGTTCAAAGCTACCGTGGACTACATAGTGAGACACCATCTATTTAAAAACAACAACAACAACAAAAAAAAGCTGGGCTTGATGGTGCACAGACAAAAAGTTAGCAAAATTCCATCTCAATCAACAAGCAGGTGCAGTGGCACACCACTGTAATCTCACTACACAGAAGGCATAGGAAGGAGGATCAGGGTCCAAATCTGGCCCCAGGCAAAAATTTAAGACCCTACCTGAAAAATACCTAAAGCATCAAAAGGGCTAGGGGCATGGTAGAGCACCTGTCTAGTAAACGTGAGTCTATGAGTTCAAGCCCCAGCACTGCCAAAACAAAACAAATAAAGAGCATAGACTGTAATGCTAAACCTGTATCTATGAGCTCAAGGTAACAGGATGGTACTGAGGTGCAGAAGGTTACACGATCTATGTACATTGGTTTTAAACAACCAAATTTTAGGAAGAACAAAACTTGTGGTTGAAAGGATGTGAACGCACTCCAGCTCCAGGCTCAGTCATCAGATGCTACCCTCTACTTTTTTCTATGTAGCTTGCTGTGTTAGTCAGACTTCGAGACCCTGTGAAAATTCCTAAAAACAACTGAAAGGAGGAATAACTTATTTTGGATTATGTTTTCAGAGGTTTCAGTTCTTGTTCAACTGGCTTCATTGTTTTTAGGTTGGATGTCATGGTGGTGAGCGTGTGGTAGAAGCTTCTCAGGGAGTGACAGGAAGGCACCAGGGTCAGATACAACTTCAAAAGACACCCCCAGTGACTTACTTCCTTCAACCAAGCCCCAACTTCTAATAGCCCATTCAGCTATTGAATTCAAAAATGAATTAATCCATTGCTGAATGCAGCACCCTCATGATCCAATCATCTGTCAATAATTAGATCCATCAGTTAGGACTAAGTCATCAACACATGAGCCTCTTGGGAGACATCTCAGATCCAAACCATAACGCTTGCTGCTTAATATGCTACTGCGCTTCAAATAATTTTAAGCTCAAATATGTTTTTCTTCTCCTGCATCACTTAGTGTTACTGTGTGACTGTGTGTTCTTTCCCATAACAGGTGCATTTTGGGAGATGGCTGATAGAAGGGAGTCCTTATGTGGTGCTCTTTGACATAGGCTCTTCGGCGTGGAATCTGGACAGGTGGAAGGGAGACTTCTGGGAAGCATGCAGTGTTGGCATCCCTCATCATGACCGAGAAGCCAGTGACATGCTCATATTTGGGTCTTTGACTGCCTGGTTCTTAAAAGAGGTACAGTTTACTGTAGAACGATTCAACAGAGGAGTGGTACAGCTACATTCAGTGTCTGGCAATGATCTCAGCAACATTAAGCAAATTTTGAGATAATTCTGTTTTTGATTGTCCTAATATATTTTTAGAGGAATCCTCAGATTTCTTTAAATTTATAATACTTATTAACATTTACCACATATAAGAATTAAATTTAATGATGAATATAAAACATCCAATTATATTACGAACTATACAGATGATATGCAGTTGATATGCAGAGTGTACGCCATGCACTATATACATGAGTTGTAGAATCTTGGGAGTGGAAAAAGCTTGAAACATTCTGTCTTGTTTATGCACTGAGTGTTGGTGCAATTAGATATTTTCTTTATTTGCTAGGAGCAGAAGGGGCCCTTTGCAGTAGAATATTCCATAGGTGTCAAAAAACCAGAGCATTAAAAACCAGTTCTTGTTAAATGAGCCAAGCCTGCACCCTTTTATGTTCTCAAAGCATGGAAGTAGAATTTCTTTGCATCCCTTTCAGTACCTCCAGATGATTGTATCTGACCCAAAAATCAGATGATGAAAGAAGAGTGTTAAACCTAATGACAAAAAAAAAAAAATCAAGAGCTTTATGTTGGGAGGGTGTTTCCCTTGACCAATCTTTCTTTCTGATGAAGTCCTATCGAATACCCATGAATGGCTGCCTTGAGTTGAAGGAGGTAACAGTGTAGAAGGGTGAGAGACTTGGTAGAACCAGCCATGACAGATACACAGTGTTATTCTTTAGCACACGTTACTGGAAACAACTCTTCCTCTACAATCTGCCTCCTTGAGCCAGTGCCTCTGGCAGTGGCCAGCCACCAAGAGATGTGTCTGTGTGTAGGGGGCCTCCCCACCATTCTTTCTGATAAGGGAAATTGACAGGAAAGAAACAAGAAAGTGACAGTATTGATTTTCTTTAAAGTAAACAGTTTCAGAAATACAGATTTCTTTGGTTCAAAAGGTCAGTAGAGGTACTGGGGGAAAAACAATCCCAGACTACCAGGTAAGGCATCTGTGCTGGCGCCTCTGTTAAGCTGTTAATAGCCATGAAAAACTTCTTGAAAATCATCCACTCAAATAATTATTCTGTACCTACTGTGCATTCATTCAATTTATTAATAGTATTACCAATAAGTATTCATAGTTATTCTTTTGTAGACACAGAAATAAATCTGATCCATCACTGAAAGGGAGGATTAGGATATAAAAGTGTGTGGATAAATGAGCCTGCCACTGAATCCTACAAAACATTTATCCTTGCTAAACCTATGTGCCTCATTTTTACACCCATTTAAATTGTGTCTCTTCTTATGCTGTGGGCTGGGCAATGATCAAGATCAAGCTTTCCCAGAAACTTTTCTAAACGTCTTTGTCTGATACAGGTGACAGACTATGCAGATGGCAAACATGTCATTGTTCAATTCCATGAATGGCAGGCGGGAACTGGGCTGATCCTTTCTCGAGCCCGGAATCTCCCTATTGCCACAATATTCACAACCCACGCCACACTACTTGGGAGGTATCTCTGTGCAGCAAACACTGACTTCTACAACCATCTTGACAAGGTAAACAGTCCTTCTCCTCCCCCTCACCCACTTTTCTTTCAGACCACAGAAGCTGAGGATGTAAAGTATTGACCTTTATATTTCATCTGCCAACTCCATGACAGAAATGCCCTTTTAGCTAATTAGCATTCAGGAAAAATCTCCCTCTAGGTTGTCAGACAGCTGATGTGGTTTAACTTAGTTTAGAATACCATGGAGTACAGAGCTAAGAAATCTTGATTTCTGTTCCATTTTGGGAAAATAGGCCCAGAGTAGCATGGTAGGAATGAGACGCCATGTGTACCCAAGGCTGGACTGTACCCTGTAGCTTGGGAAATACTGTAAAGACAAAATTCACACCCGGCTCTGAGTGGCAGGTTGAGAACTGAGATTCCAGGTGTGTAAACGTGCAGTCTGAGCCTCACTTCCTGTATCCTTCACATGAACCATTGATTGGAAGTACATTGCACATCCAGAGGTCAGCTTTTTCCTGGAACTTTGCATTGCACACAGGTGGGGCTCTTGTAGGGTCAAATACAACAGACGTCATGGAAAGCAGTAATGTCCACTTATTTTTGTATGCTACCAATTTCCTGACCCCAGGTCACTGAGTTTGATTTCCTTCTTCTATTTTCTATCAGATATTTAGAATAATAAAAGCATATCTTTTATATTATCATGTCAACAATCTTAAAACCTTTGAGTACCATAAATTCAAAGGCTTTTCAGATTTAATATCTATTTTACCTATCAAGTCAACTTTGTATTTTAAGATTCCATTTCACTGAGAAAAATTAAAAAGCTGGAAAGTTGATTTCTAAAAACATCTCAGTGTAAATTATTCTAGGATTCTATGAAACAGAATGTGTATGTGTGTGCATGGTGTGTAGTGCATAAATAATGCTAAGATAAAGGTACTGGAGTATTACACTACTATTTCTAAGCTCAAGAAAGTTCTTTCTGAAAAACATTTGCAAAGCAGCGAGTGGCTCTAATGAGAGCTGTCCTATGAAAAGTTCACCCTAACCTAAAGGTCAAATTATAAACATAATACGTACATTCGAAATAAAGTCACCAAGAGATTCAGAAAGCCAGGAAAACAGGGCATATGGTAATGTTGGACTAATAAGTGCAAACCAGTGACCTGTGGTTAAGCTCAACAACTGTTTCCCAGAGAAGAGCAGTCTTTGATCTTTATGAGAGGAAATATTGGAGTGGCACATGGACTATCTCACTTCAGAATGCTTAAGAATATTGTAGAAACACTAACACAGCTAATAATATGCATTGGATAGTCTTTTATTTTTAAGGAACAAAAGCACTAATGCGTGTGTATTGTATTAGTTATGTATTATAGCTTTATCCTTTTACAAAAGGTTAGTATTTATATCACACTGCTCACAGATAGGATTATATGTATTTCAAGCTTGTCACTGGTTGAGGTATGTAAGCTTAGTCACATCCCAGGCAATCTTTCTAGTAAACTGTTCTGCCTAGTAACTAGGAGATAAGTAGTAGTCAACAATTAGGCTTTGCATTAAATTCATACTCATTTTTCACAACAGAAGCCTCCAGGCTCACCCTAGTTAAGAAATTGAATGATATGCAAACACACAAAATTATGTCCCTGACATGTTTTTAAAAGTGCAACATGAAGATTTTTTTTTATAATTTGGTCTTTGATGCAGGACCCATGATCAGTTTCAGTAAGTACTGACTTGGGCAAACACAGAGAAAACATGGGAGCAAGAATAAAAGAATTTAGCTTTGGGAGAAGCAGAGAGGTTAGAAATATTTTACTCAAATAATAACTGTGACCTGAAAACACTTTTATGTTCAAAGCTAATGAACGAACACCTTGATGTTGGCTTAAACTTTTCTAAAATTCATGGACAACCATTTTCAGTCAACTTATAAGTTTTCTGAGAACTTCCAAGTAGGTGTTTACAAACTCACTCTCTCAAGTACAGCTACTGCTCAGTCATCTTCCCCTAACTATAATGCATAAATAGATAATGCTTCTTTTGTAAAGACCTTTATTTTCTTATGTTTTGTTCTCTTTTTCTCTTAATGGCAAATAATTTCCTGGATAGAAATCTGAGAACAGTGTTGTTTAGAAACAGAAAATGAGGAAGGAACCCTTAGACAATTGTTTGATGGATTTTAACTATTTCATTTAGCCAAATTTTTAGTTAATCAAATTCAATTTTAGGGTTACCCTTTTCTTTCACTGGACTGTATTTTATTGGCTAATATATATACTTTATCTCCCTCTTTACTCTTTTATAACCTGGTCTAGAACTCAATAAAAAGTTACAGACATGCATGAAAACACAGGAAAGAAAGACCAAGGTCAAAAGTACAAGGTCCAGCTAGATGCTTGATGTTAGAATCATCTGACAGAGATTTTACTGTACTGTCATAAATGTGTGGGAAGGTGGACATGGTGTGTAAATAGGATGTAAAGCCAGAGGTGAGGCCAAGCATACCACAGGTCTCAAGAAAGGGGAGCCACACCAGGGTGTGCTTGTGCATGCCTATAATCCCAGTTACTTGGAAGGAAGAGGCCTGGATCTAGAGTTACAGACCAGTCCAGGCAAAGTTAGTGAGACCCCCATCTCAGAAACAAAACACAAAAACAAAAGGGCTGGGCAGTGTTGTGAAAGAGGCAGAGCATTTGCTTAGTATGCCCTGGGTTCATACCACAGTACTAGAAAAAAGGGAAAAAGATAAAGGTGCCCGTGGGACCAGGAAAGGCAGAACTTATGCAAATGCACAACTGTCCTGGAATTGCCAGGAGCCTGCTGTCCTCCCCTGTATGTTTGTATACTCAGCATGTTCAGTGTCAAATGCCATCTCGTCTGTGAAATATTGTCTGCAAGGACAATAGCAGTAACTGACATTGTTGAGCACTTTCTATGTGACAAGCACTTTTCTAAATATGTGACATGTGTTCGCTCATTTGAAATGTACAAAGCTCAACAAGATAGTAAACACTCCATACTTCTTTCCAAACATATTTTTCTTAAACCTAGACTGTGCATGGTTTTACCATACCTCTAAGCAAACCCTATAAGTAGCTTTCTGTTGGGTATAGGATAAAAGCTAAATTCCTTATCCATCATCTACCCTTATTATATCCACCAGACATTTCTCTTACATTCTCCAGTCACATCAGACATTCTGCGATTTTCTGCACGTTGCAGAACTGTTTTAGATTCATTCTTTAGGGCAGCTAATTTTTCAGTCCAAAATATCTTTTCCCAAATTAAAGTTTCACATCCCAGTCTGAATCCCATTTTATTCATCCAACTAATTGGAGATACACAGATAAATGCTTTGGTCCTTACACTTAAAAATCTCACATTCCAGAGGTGACAGTGATCATGAATACATTATAGAGAATAAAATACTTTTCCCTATCCTCAGCCAAAGTGAATCAGTTTGGCTCTGATTTTGTACCACGCTCTTTTCTGCCTGACTTTTACCTGTTTTTCTAAGAAAGGTAACAGGTAAACATAAATTACTCAACAAGTGTTAGTTGAATGAGAGATTTGGTGAAACAAATGGGACCAGCATTTAAGAACATATCTGCCCATGCAAATATGCCATAGAGATCCCTGGTTCAAAGATTTGCAGAGAGATAGTTGCAAATGCTACCTGTCACAATCAGTATACTCATTGAATGGGTCTTGTCTTAGTGTTATCCTCTCTACAATGCAGTAACTGTTGGGACTGACTTGTTGATAGAGCTAAGTATTAGTGATATAAGAGCAAGGAAGAGTGCAGAATTTGAAGTCAGATCAATCAGGAATCAACATAGGGTTCTGCTAAGATATTTAATAGAAATGTGACCTTGGACATGTTTTCTGACCTCTAAAAGGTTCAATTTCTGCCTCTAACATGAAGACAAAATAAGTGTCTTGGTGTCTTATAAGGATTAAATATGACATGCTTTGAAGAGTAGTTAGCATGTGGTGTTGAAAAGCACCTGGCTGATACCATGCCACCCCCTTTTTTTCTCTAGGACACTGCTACTTTCATAGTAAGCTGTATGAGATATAACACTTGGTAACTAAGTCTACTGCCAGTTATTTAAGTGATTGCTAGGGATCTGGCTTTTTTTTTTTTTAAGTTAAGATGTCCAGAATGATAGATGGCTCCACAACCTAACACACTATCTAACTGAAGTAACTTTGAAATTATAAGGTGGAAAGAGTTCTATAACCATGAAAAGCATTTGTCCTCTCTCTTTTCAGGTTCCCTCTCAGTGAATTAAGGAAAATAGCAGTTATCCTTATTTTTAGTGTCAAGTTTAATGTCAGCTTTGCTTCTTTGTTTGCTTATGGGAAAATATGATAAGAGCTTTGGGAAAAAGGACTAGCCCTATATTTATAAAATGTGGAGTAAGTAAAAGTATAATTAAAATGCCCAAAATTCAAAACTTCTGTACAATTATAGCGAAGTAGAAATAGCATTTAGTTAGAGGGTTAAACAGCAATTGAGCAGAAGAAATGAAACAAACAATGCTTTCAAAAACATAAATAAATATTCTAGCAATAGGTTTAATAAAATTTCTTTAGTATGTTTTTGTGGTTATACAGTTTCATACAGCATTGAGGAAAAGCAATTGGTGAAATATGTGATTTTGTTTTGCTTGTGGGGAAGATTCAGAGCATGGAAATATGTGTTTGTTTGTTTCTCACAGTTTAACATAGACAAAGAGGCTGGGGAAAGGCAGATATACCACCGTTACTGCATGGAGCGAGCCTCTGTACACTGTGCTCATGTGTTCACCACCGTTTCTGAAATAACAGCCATCGAGGCAGAGCACATGCTGAAGAGAAAGCCTGGTAATCATTACCCCTGAGATGTCACCTGTCTTTCAGTTCCAAATGACAAAAGAGCATGAGGATTTTTTTCCAGCATAAGTAGAGAAAATGTTGCATTTGCTATTACCACTCAAATCTTTATATGCATTTTAATAATTTGTTTCAGTAGTTTTTCAGTGAAACCAACAATAAAGTATATATATATCTCCAACATAGTAAAAATTCACTGTTTGTTGAATAAGTGAGCTATGCTTGAAGTGCCATAAGTATGAACAGAGTTGTCATAGTGACTTGGAATGTGTAAGAACCAGACTTGATATTTCTCTTCTAAGAAAATGAAAGTGAAGGAACTCTCAGAAATTTGTGTGAAATTATCCCACTCCAAATCTTATACTATTGCCTCTTTGGAGCTGTTTGGCAGAAATCTGTTGTTTTGCCTCTCCCCAGTCTTCCCTGCAAGTCTTTTTGGAAACTTCTCAAACCCAAAGGGAATCTGCAATGCAAAGAAGCATTTTTAAAAAACATGACATTATTACCTGGCCACATCTGATTGGTCCAAAAGTAGACATCTGACACTAGCCAGGCCAAACAGAAGGCTCCTATAGGAAGAGTCAAGTCTGTTGAGTGCCCTTCTGTGTAATTGAATGTCAGCTTTGAAGTTGTTGGCAATGTCCATTTTTCTGTTCTGTTTTCCTAGATATAAAGAAGGCAAAATACAATGCAGTACTATCAGAAGGAAGAGGAAGGAAGGAGAGGGGAAGGGCGAAGAGGGGAGAGGAGGGGAGGGGAAGGGAGAAGAAAGGGAGCTCTAGGTTCTTCACAATGATTTAGACTATTGTTTAAAGTCACTCTCAGGCCCAACTGAATCTTTGCCATGCAACACTCCAGCATCCTATTAGCAAATTCCTCACTTTGTACTTAAGCCAGTGTTAGTAGGTTTCTATACCTTGCAAGCAGATGGTCCTAATACTTCTTTTTTGATTTAATCCTCTTTGTTTGATTCCTGTGGTCTTGCCACTAGTCTTACTTTCAGATGCCACTTGAGTGCCTAAAGGAAGTATTTTGAGGTATTAGATAAAACAAAAACAAACAAGCAAAAATCATAGTAAATAGCAACAGCATAGTCATCTGTGGTGTTCTTTTTCTCTTTTCAAAGATCACTGTGGATTTCAGATTTTCTTGGATTCTCACAGTCATGACTCTTAGAGGCGTTTACTTCACTGATGTGCTCATTCCTCTCTTGGATCTTCCTTTGATCTCTGTCTACGGCATCCTTTTCAGAGCTTACAAGCATTCTTTTTTGTTTTTCCTCTTCTAAAATCAAAGTTTCTCTTAAGGCCATGACCTTGTCAAAAGTTTATATACTTAACTCCTTTCTCTTGCTGACAGACACAGTAGAAGAGTTAACCATAGTTAATGCTTCTACCTGCTCATGAGCCCCTTGGACTCTGGCTTCTAACCTTCAACACAAGCTGGGAATTGTTTTTTCCAAAATATCTCGAAATTCAGGTTCTCTGGTTTTTAAGTGGTCCTAGACATTCCCTGGTATTAAACACTTTATGCTTCATCTGAACAACTCTTTCCCCTTGCTTTTCCTATACAACACATTCTAAGTTCTCTCCAGTATGATTCTTCTCTGCTGTCTGGTAGATTTTCTCCTTCCTCCTGTCTTTTAACAATAGGCACTCTCCAAGATTATTCTGGATCTTGCTTTCTTTACTATTTTCCTAAATTTTTCTTTTCTTAGAAATACAGCTGCCAAGTAGGGTTAAAAACACTGATTTGGGGACAACCTGTCCGAGTTCGATATAAAAAATAATTTTGTGTTGAATCCATGTTACTAGCTACAGGACGTGGTAGAAGTTACTTATGTTCCCTCTGCCTTGTCTGCATGATGTGGATCGTAATCCTGTCTCTGATGCAGAATTGTTCAATGATTTGAAGAGTTAATACATTGGAAGAACTCAGCTCAGTACCTGGTTGGTTGTACAGCTCAGAAAAAGTTAGCAATTACTATTTTGTATGGATCACTGTCCAGATTTTCCCAAATTCTTATCTGTGTTACTGTATTTGATTTTGTTCACCTGCCATCACTGTCCCTGTCCCCTTTGCTCCACAGCTCCCCCCCTCCCATGGTCCTCCATTTAGGTTCATGACTTTTTGTTGATTTGTTTGCTTATATTTATGTATCCAGATTCCATATATGACAGACAACATGGGTTTATGTCCCTTAACATAATGATCTTCAGTTCCATCCATTTTCCTGAAAATGACATAATTTCATTCTTTATGGCTGAATAATACTCCATTATGTAGAGTATATATATAAAATATACATCACTTTTTTATCCATTGATTGGCTGATGGGCATCTAGGTTAATCCCATTTCTGGGCTATTGTGATTTGTGTCACAATAAACACTGATGTGCAGGTATCTCTGTTGTATGCTCTCTTACATTGCTTTGGGTGTATATCTGGGAGTGCTATAGCTGGATCACATGGTAGTTCTATTTTTAGCTGATTTCCACCTGGCTGCAATAATTTACATTCTAGCCAACAGTGTATAAGGGCTTCCTCTTCCCCTGTGTCCTCACCAGAAGTTTTGTCTGTTTTTTTTACGATAGCCATCCTGACTGTGATGAGGCAAAATCTCGATGTTGTTTTGATTTGAATTTTCTTATGGATAAGGATGTCGAACACTTCTTTATGTGTTTATTGGCCGTTTGTACATCTTCTTTTGAAAACTGTTCACATCATTTGGCCATTTACTAATTGGGTTATTTATTCTTTTGGTGTTGAATTTTCTGAGTTCTTTATATATTCTGGATATTAATCTTTTGTCGGATGAATAGCTTTCAAAGAATTTCTCCCATTCTGTAGGCTATCTCATCACTCTAATAACTGATTCCTTTGATGTGTGAATGCTTTTTAATTTGATACAATTCCCTTTGTCAGTTATTGCTCTTATTTCCTGAGCTATTACAGTTCTCTTAAAAATTGCCTATACCTAGATCTTTAAGTGTTTTTCTGGCTTTTTTTTCTTCTGGCAGTTTCAACATTTCAGATGTTATGTTAAGGTATTTGGTCTATTTTGAATTTTTATGTAGGGTGAGAGACAGGGGTCTAATGTCAGTCTTCTACACATGGATTTCTCATTTTCCCAGTACCATTTGTTGAAGACACTGTCTTTTCTCCAATGTCTGTTTTTGGCATCTTTGTCAGGAATCAGGTGGTTGTATCTGTGTGGTTTTATTTCTGCATTCTATTCTAGTCCTTTGGTCTTCCTGCCTTGTGGTGCCAGTACCATGTGTTTTTTGTTACTATGGCTCTGTAGTATAGTTTGAGGTCAGGTATTGTGATACGGCCAGCATTGCTCTTTTTGCTCAGGATTGCTTTGGCTATTCAAGGTCTTTTGTGGTTTTAGACTTTTTTTTCTGTGAAGAATGTTATTGGGACTTTCATGGGTTAACTACATTAAATCTGTAGATTGCTTTCAGTATTATAGCCATTTTTACAATATTAATTCTGCTGATCCATAAACATGGGAGGTCTTTCCGTCTTCTAATCTCTTCCTTGGTTTCTTTCTTTTGTATTTTATAGCTTTTATTGTACAGTTCTTTCACCTCTTTGGTTAGGTTTATTCCTAAGTATTTCATTTTTTGAGGTAATTTGTGATGGAATTATTTTCTTGATTTCTTTCTCAGAATGTTCATGGATGGTGTATAGGAAAGCTACTGATTTTTGTTTATTGATTTAGTATCTTGATACTTTTGCTGAAAATGTTAGTCGGATCTAAAGGTTTTCTGGTGGAGTTTTTGGGTTTTTTTAGTATAGAGTCATATCATCTGCTAATAAGAATGATTTGATTTCTTCCTTTACTATTTTCATAACTTTTATTTCATTCTCTTGCTTTATTGTTCTGGCTAAGAATTCAAGTTCTATTTTGAATAAGAGTGGAGAGAGTGGTCATCTTTGTCTTGTTCCTGATTTTAGGGGAAATGCTTTTGGTCTTTCCCTTTTTGAACACAATTTTGGCTGTAGGTCTGTCATACACAGCCTGTATTATGTTAGGGTATCTTTCTTCTTTTCCTAGTTTCTTAAGGGCTTTTGTCATGAAGCGATGAGGAATTTTGTTGAAGGCTTTTTCTTCAGCTGCCATCTTTCGGTCAGTGTTTTTTTCCGTGTGTTGATGGTGCCCAATTTCTTACACGTGGTAACAATCTCAAGAAATTAGTAACCAATGTTGCCTCCAGAGAGAGGAAAAACCTAGGGAACAAAAGTGGAAGGGAGGCTTTTTAAGGTATATATTTGGAACTTTTGAAACTTAAATGATGTGATTATATCACTATATCATTAATCTAAATATATTCATTTATATTAATCTAATATAAATGAATTGAGAATATAACTACTTGATTATTCTATGTAAACTACTTAAACAACAATTGAGAGTAGTACTAGCTGTAAAAGGGAACTGATTGCCAATACCAACTGAAGATACTCTTGCTTATATAGTGTTGACAGGACCATCTTACACATGATCTGTAATGATTATACTCTCTATATTAGCACATTTATTCTAGCGAAAAAGGTACATTTTAATTATGTCGTTGTGTAAGAGTGCTCATGTGACTCCTCATCTATCAAGGAAGCATAAAATGATTTTTAAACCTGATTTCTTTAGCTACATAGGCATTAGGCTGTTAAAACTAGGTCATCCTGGCTCCTGAGATCCAATTATTAAATTTTAGGTATTTGTGAGCTGGTTGCCAAACACAGCCATTATTAAACATTACATTATAGAAACTTACAACTAACTAACTATACAAATACTCAAGACTTCCTAATTATTTTGCTACCATATACTATGATCTATGCTCTTAACATATATATATATAATATAATATATAATATAACATATTATATATTATAATGATGTCAAGAAAGCATGGTCGGTACACTCTCAATTTTTTCCAAATATTTATATGTATTTTGTGAAGGAATCATCAGCCCCCTGTATCTGAGACTTCTGCAACCACAGCTCCAACTAAATGGATCAGAAATATTCAGAAGATTGTGCCTGTACTGAACAGTTGTTTTTTTTTTCTTGTTATTGTTCCCTAACAATTATTTACATAGCATTTACATTCTGTCAGGTAGTACAAGTAATCCAGAGCTGACTTAACGTATACAGGAAGATGTGCATAGATTCTGGCATGCATGGTGTCATCCCAGAACCAGTCGCTCAGGGATGCCAAGGGATGACTTGCAACAAGTGCCTGATTACTTAGTAAAAACTCATAGGAATTAGGTGTGTTAAGTACGAAATGATTGAGAAACCAGGGTTGATTTTGTGGAACCATTCTAAGAGAATAGCTATTTAAAAAACAATATTTATCCTAAATTGTCATTAATATTTGTATTTTGTTAGATAGTAATAACTACTAAGAATAGGCTTTTAACCATGAAAGATTCTTCAAAATAATAGCTCAAATTTCTATCGTCACATAGGAAAGTTTTTGATATAGCTTTGTTTTTTCTTGCTTTATTTTTTCTTGATTCTAACTGTGATAAGCCATGTAACCAATGCAGACGACAGTTTCTGTTGCGTGTTCACAGTAATCTCTCTGTCTTGTCGTAGATCAGTTTCTCCCTGAGCAACAAAGTCTCCTGGGCTGAATGAGCCCACTGAGTTAGAAAGAAGAAATAGAGTTAATAACTGAGCAAAAATAAGAAAGCATGAATCTCATCTAATTGTACCAGTCACTTATTATTATTTCAGTCAGATACTCCTGATTTCCTGTTTCAACCAAGAGACTGAATTATGAGTTTCTATGAATTTTAAATTCCTCAGAAGTCACAAGCTAGAAATGCAAATAGGCTTTACTGTTATAGATTTTAAAGCATCTTTTCTCCTACAATGGTCCCCCCTCTCCAAGGAGAATTTTCATGATTGTGTTTTGCTTTTCCAGATGTAGTTACTCCGAATGGCTTGAATGTGAAGAAGTTTTCAGCTGTACATGAATTTCAAAATCTACACGCCATGTACAAGGCCAGGATCCAAGACTTTGTTCGGGGCCATTTCTACGGGTGTGCTTTTCTTTATTAAAAATTAACTTGTGGCTGGTGCTGATGGCTCACGCCTGCAATCCTAGCTACTCAGGAGGCAGAGATCAGGAGGATCATGGTTCAAAGCCAGCCCAGACAAATAGTTCACGAGATCCTATCTCAAAAATACCCATCACAAAAATGGGCTGGTGGAGTGGCTTAAGGTGTAGGCCCTGAGTTCAAGTCCTCCCCCAAAATAGCACGTGATTTTTAAGATCTTTAGAAGAGAGAACAAAGGTTTGTTATAGTAATGTTGCTCTCTCTCTGCCCCCTTTGTACTTCAACAGATTTCATGTGCACATCTTGCTTTTGTTTTATCTCATTGCTACCTTGTTTTGTTTTGTTTCAGTCACCTGGATTTTGATCTTGAAAAGACATTATTCCTTTTCATTGCTGGGAGGTATGAGTTCTCAAATAAAGGTGCGGACATCTTCTTAGAGTCCTTATCCAGGCTAAACTTCCTTCTGAGGGTAAGAAAGTTCCAGGGCATGACCCAATGCTTCTGTGGGGAGCACTTCCTATTGTGGGAGGTGAAGTACTTTCTGGTTTCTGAAATAGTTTTTAAGAAGACAAACGATTCTGAAGATTTAATATAACTTCATTCTGAAGACGTTCATCCTTTCAGTTTACATACTGGAGTTATACATCACTCATTTGAACATTTGTCTGTGTTTTCAGAAGTCATTATCACGTCCCTTTATGGATATATCTCAATACTATTAGAAGAAGATGTGGCTGGCATATATGACAATAGGTGTCCCCTTATTGACCCTTAGTATCACATTTAGCCCTCTAACCACAGGCAACTCTGACCATCACCACACCCTGAAGCATCCCTGAGAGTGTCACTTCCCCCATACCTGCTGGAACAGGACAAACACATGCTCACTCACCTCCTCCCAAGTTTAAGAGTCTTGAACCATTCATCTCGGAGGTGCCCCACCACCTGGAAACATGAAGGAAGGACAGGAGATTCTTTCTTCTAACACCGTGGAATCAAGTTTTGCTCAGAAGGGGTCACCAACTAATTCAGCAATAAAGCAGGTGCCAAGAGAGACAACTATAGAAAATGGCACTGTGTTAGCTATTGATTAACATGATTGGTTTATATTCCAGTCCTGTCACATAAAAATATAGAATGAGTACTGGAAATAGTCACATGAATACAAAATTTCAATCTTACTAAGATATTGCAATAATCTAGGAATAAATCATTAGTAAATTTCTAATCTGAAATTTTAAAGAACTAATTTTGGCTTTGTAATATTAGCTTACATTTTAAGTTATTTTTTAAATCACAGTAAAACATAGTGATTATTATAATTTTTTTTTTTTTTTTGTGGTACTGGGGTTTGAGCTCAGGGCCTCAGACTTACTAAGCAGGTGCTCTAACACTTGAGCCACTCTTTCAGCCCCAGAAAACATAGTAACATCAATAGCAATCATTACCTATTTTAGATAATCAATGCTATGAAAGTAGTTTATTTATGAGTTTTCAAACAGTCAGTTGACAAATCTTGATTGGAAGCCAGATTTTAAATTGAAATTCCTGAAAAAGTCTTGGGAAGATGGAAATAACTTCTCTGTGAGTTATAAATCAGAATTCTTTTTTTTTAAAAACACTGATTTAAAAAGTCTATGGTCCATGTGCCACCATTGTTTTCATCTTGATAGCAGACTCTGTTGTGTTTTTTAACTTCAGATGCATAAAAGCAGTGTCACAGTGGTGGTGTTTTTCATCATGCCTGCCAAGACAAATAATTTCAATGTGGAAACTTTGAAAGGACAAGCGGTGCGAAAACAGCTCTGGTAATCTCATGTCTTGTGAACATTCTTCAGCAACAAGTACAGGGGGGTTCTTTGCTTTTTTGCAGTGCTGGGGCTCCAACTCAGGACTTTGTACATGCTAGGCACGCACTCAACCCCTGAGCTATGTCTATAGTCCTAACAGATGTGATTTTCAGTGTGACCTCTGGAATATCTCCTAGAACTTTTCTTTTCTTCCTTAAGATTACTCTAGCATGAACACTGCTTGGTTTTATTTCTTCGTGCTACTATGTGATAATACCGTACTACAATGAATGGTATTATCAGACAAATTTTGGTATGAGCAACCATGGAAGGAGCACGCCTCTCAGAAATCCTTACACATGAGTTGAATATGTTTTTAACTTTTTATTGTGTAAATTTGAAGACACGTACAAAATAGATGAGTGTGATGACTCTCTTTCTACTCAGTCTTGACTAACAGTTATCAACCAGTTTCCAAATTTGCCCCTCCATGCACTGCCCCTCCCTTCTCTCACCCAGCAACTCCCCCTCCCTCTCCCCGCCCCAGTTATCATCAGGCTGAACACGTTTCAGGTCATAAAATAGGTAATGATTGCTATTAATATCACTATGTTTTCTGAGGCTGAAAGAGTGGCTCAGGGTGTTCTCCTGCCTCCGCCCTGGCATGTTTCACTCAAGCTAAATTGGCCAACAAGAAAATAACAGAAGGGGCTATGCATCCACAGGATGCTGTCTTGATTTAGAAATCTTTCTATCTTTTTTTTTATTTTGGCAGTAGTGGTGTATTGTGATTTGTCACAAGTCACACCCTATCCTTTTTTGCTTTAGTTATTTTTCAGATAAGGTCTTGCATCTTTGCTGGGGCTGGCCTCTGACCACAATCTTCCTACCTAAAGCCACCTAAGTAGCTGAGATGACAGGTGTGACCCATTACACACAGCCCCCAGAAATCTTTCTGTTTCAAACAGGGACACTGTACATTCTGTGAAGGAAAAGTTTGGAAAGAAACTGTATGATGCCTTGTTAAGGTAGGTGCTCAAAAGACTTAACAATCCAAGAATTTATGGTTTCACTATTAACCTTAGCAATTTGGACACTATCATGTATTTGTTTTGTTCCAAACATAAAGGAATTAATAGCCTTTGAGGATTTGTTGTGTCATGTGCAGAGTATTTTATACTTCATGTGACAAACACCAGTAAATTCTTTGTTCATAAGAGTCTACATTTGCATATGAAGGCAGGTAAGTCAACAGGGAACTCATTACAGGTTAGAATGTCAATCTGAAGCTGAGGGAGATTTTGAGTTAAAATATATATATATTTACTTAATACATATTAAATATGTATTTACTACTTATATATTAAATCTGTGTTAACACCTTTACTTAGCAAGTGGTAAGTTTCATTGTTTATTCAAATAAATGAAACATGTATGTCTGACAGGTAGAAAATTCTTCATTAGTGCCAGCTGGCTTTACTTTTATTACTAACATTGTTTTCCTCACAGAGGAGAAATACCTGACATGAATAATATTTTGGACCGAGATGACCTAACAATTATGAAAAGAGCCATCTTTTCAACTCAGGTAAAAAAGAAAGAAGTGCCCCCCATTTATCATAATTATTAAGATGAATCCAAGTCAATATTTTAATTTTTTGGAAGGTGGTGAATTGGGAAACTTAGACCTGGGAGTTAGTATAAAAAAAAAAAGCATTCATACATAGTCACTTAGGTGACTGCGTTCGTTTGTGAATAGTCTTAAGGGCTTCTTTCAAAAAATCTCATAAAACCTGTCTTTGTATCACATTTTGAATGTTTCCAGTTGAAAATCTGTGTACATTGTCATAGCAAATTTTTCCAGAAGCATAGAATTTGTTACAGTAGAAAACAATGTGAATGTTTCTTAGCTGAATGTAATTATTATAAAATAGTTAAAATAAATGTGGCATGTATGCACCACAGTTCTTGTCAAAACAGTGACAGCTACAGGAGTTCAGCTCTGCTAGGCGATTGCCGCAAAGTTCATCTCGAGTGAAGACTCCAGGGCACCCTTGTATTCCAGATGAGCCCCAGAAACAGTCGTGAAGTCCGGGTGTTTCACATAGGGGCTGATGATGACCAAAAAAAAAAAGCTTCATGTTCACAATCATGAAGAACATTCTCGAGCCCATTACCTTCTTCTGAAATACACAAACTTAGCCGTAATGTCAGTGTCATCTCAAATGACTGAGAACACAAAAGGTTGCAGGAAATGTCAAGGATCTACTGCTGAAATTGGTCACACTTGCTGATTCTGCAACTGACATTTTCTTCTTCCCTAACTTCAGCGACAGTCTTTGCCTCCGGTGACCACCCACAATATGATTGATGACTCAACAGATCCAATCCTCAGCACCATTAGGAGGATTGGACTTTTCAACAATCGTGCAGACAGAGTCAAGGTACAGCTAATTGTTCATGCAAGTCACTTTAAAATTATATAGGACATATTTTTGTAGAATTTATTAGGAGTCTCTCTTTGTTGTTTTAACATATGCTAGAAATATTTTAAGTACTTCTAAAGAAAATTAATTCTATTTCTTCTACGTAATTATAGTATAATGAATATTTTGATACCATTCTTGAAAACTGGAGCATACTTATGGTCGGGAGTTGTAATTCTACCATTTATTTTTTATTGCACAATGCTATCCATAAGCTTAAGAAAACTGCCTAATTTTTAGTGATAGAAATATATTCTAAGGATTAGTTTAATGGCAGAATCCAATATGAACATGAATTATGTTTATATATTCCTGATAAAGTTCAACTTAAGGTGACATGAGAAGCTTTCAGCTTTAATGTGTTCTTGATGTAATTTTCTGTAGATCAATTCATTCTTTGGACTCTTGAGTCTCTACCATGAGCAGGCACTGTGTTGTTTGCTGAAGGTATTTACATGAACAGGAGCTTAATCCCATGGTGTTCAGAGACTTTTCTGCTCCAGGCAGAGTGCTGGAGCACATGAACAGACCATTGCTCAACCCGACTATCTCCCATTTATCAGTGCTCCCTGTCAAATTGTCACAAGCTGTTGGGAAACATTCCACTTTCCCTTCCTTCTCTCACCTCTAAGAGATGACATCCTTGGGAACGCAATGAGCTATGAGCTTCTTCGGTGTCCCTCCATGTTGGTCTTAAACATAGATTTTTTACTGTGTTTTCTTTACTGTTCTCATTCTCTTCAATATTCTTAAGAAACTTCTTGCTCTATCTTCTCCCTCTCTCTTTCTCTCTCTCGTGGAATTAGGGCTTGAACTCAGGGCTGCATGCTTGCAAAGCAAGTACTCTACTAGTTGAGCCACACCTCCAGTCCATTTTGCTTTGGTTATTTTGAAGATGGGGTTTCATCAACCATTTACCTGGGCTGGCTTCAAACCACAATCTTCCCAATCTCAGTCTCTCAAGAAGCTAGGAACCCAAAAAACTCTGCTCAGAAGCTTCTAGACATCATCAATAGCTATAGCAAGGTAGCAGGATATAAAATCAACATAGAAAAATCATTAGCATTTCTATACACTAACAATGAGCAAACGGAAAAAGAATGTATGAAAACAATTCCATTTACAATAGCCTCAAAAAAAATCAAATACCTAGGTGTAAACCTAACAAAAGATGTGAAAGACCTCTACAAGGAAAACTATACACTTCTGAAGAAAGAGATTGAGGAAGACTATAGAAAGTGGAGAGATCTCCCATGCTCATGGATTGGTAGAATCAACATAGTAAAAATGTCTATACTCCCAAAAGTAATCTACATGTTTAATGCAATTCCCATCAAAATTCCAATGACATTCATCAAAGAGATTGAAAAATCTACTGTTAAATTTATATGGAAACACAAGAGGCCACGAATAGCGGGCAATACTCAGTCAAAAGAACAATGCAGGAGGTATCACAATACCTGACTTCAAACTATATTACAAAGCAATAATAATAAAAACAGCATGGTACTGGCACAAAAACAGACATGAAGACCAGTGGAACAGAATAGAGGATCCAGATATGAAGCCACACAACTATAAGCAACTTATCTTTGACAAAGGAGCTAAAAATATACGATGGAGAAATAGCAGCCTCTTCAACAAAAACTGCTGGGAAAACTGGTTAGCAGTCTGCAAAAAACTGAAACTAGATCCATGTATATCACCCTATACCAAGATTAACTCAAAATGGATCAAGGATCTTAATATCAGACCCAAACTCTTAAGTTGATACAGAAAGAGTAGGAAATACTCTGGAGTTAGTAGGTATAGGTAAGAACTTTCTCAATGAAACCCCAGCAGCACAGCAACTAAGAGATAGCATAGATAAATGGGACCTCATAAAACTAAAAGCTTCTGTTCATCAAAAGAAATGGTCTCTAAACTGAAGAGAACACCCACAGAGTGGGAGAAAATATTTGCCAACTATACATCAGACAAAGGACTGATAACCAGAATATACAGGGAACTTAAAAAACTAAATTCTCCCAAAACTAATGAACCAATAAAGAAATGGGCAGTGAACTAAACAGAACTTTCTCAAAAGAAGAAATTCAAATGGCCAGAAAACACATGAAAAAATGCTCACCATCTCTAGCAATAAAGGAAATGCAAATTAAAACCACGCTAAGATTCCACCTCACCCCTGTTAGAATAGCCATCATCAGCAACACCACCAACAACAGGTGTTGGCGAGGATGCGGGGAAAAAGGAACCCTCTTACACTGTTGGGGAATGTAACTAGTACAACCACTCTGGAAAAAAATTTGGAGGCTACTTAAAAAGCTGGACATCGATCTACCATTTGATCCAGCAATACCACTCTTGGGGATATACCCAAAAGACTGTTACTCCAGAGGCAGCACATCCATGTTTATTGCGGCACTATTCACAATAGCCAAGTTATGGAAACAGCCAAGATGCCCCAGCACTGACGAATGGATTAAGAAAATGTGGTATCTATACACAATGGAATTTTATGCAGCCATGAAGAAGAACGAAATGTTATCATTCGCTGGTAAATGGATGGAATTGGAGAACATCATTCTGAGTGAGGTTAGCCTGGCCAAAAGACCAAAAATCGTATGTTCTCCCTCATATGTGGACATTAGATCAAGGGCAAACACAACAAGGGGATTGGACTATGAGCACATGATAAAAGCGAGAGCACACAAGGGAGGGGTGAGGATAGGTAAGACACCTAAAAAACTAGCTAGCATTTGTTGCCCTTAATGCAGAGAAACTAAAGCAGATACCTTAAAGCAACTGAGGCCAATAGGAAAAGGGGACCAGGAACTAGAGAAAAGGTTAGATTAAAAAGAATTAACCTAGAAGGTAACACCCACGCACAGGAAATCAATGTGAGTCAATGCCCTGTATAGCTATCCTTATCTCAACCAGCAAAACCCCTTGTTCCTTCCTATTATTGCTTATACTCTCTCTACAACAAAATTAGAGATAAGGGCAAAATAGTTTCTGCTGGGTATTGAGGGGGGAGGGGAGGGGGTGGAGTGGGTGGTAAGGGAGGGGTGGGGGCAGGGGGGAGAAATAAACCAAGCCTTGTATGCACATATGAATAATAAAAGAAAAATGAAAAAAAAAAAAAAAGAAGCTAGGATTACAGGCATGAGCTACTGTTGCCCAGCCTACATTCTCTTACAGTGAGGATTTCTTTCTTACCAGTACCCCTTTGCTATCTACAAATATTCCTTAAGTTTCTCTACAATAAAAAACAAACTTTGCCTCAACCTTATCTCCTGATGTTTTTAAATATTTCTGTCTTTTTTATTCTTTTCTGCAAAACTTCTTGGAAAAAAAGTATTCTTCAATTCATCTCTAATCTCCTAGCTACTTCTGGGCTAGATATGAATAGGTTTAGTGGAGGAAGAGAAATTAAGAGCTTACTGTGATAGTGCAGATGTGAGATGATGAGGCCAGATGTGCTGAATGATGGGGGAGACAGTTGCATGTAGAAAACATCCTACTGAATGTTCGACCACACTGGGAGTAAGGAAGAGGGAGAAGCCGGAGATAACAGGCTCTAGCTTCACTATCTAACCAATATTTTCTGAGATTAAAGACTATTGGTTTGAGGTACATATCATGAATTGAGTTCAGTCACTGATAGATTGAATTTGAGGTGTGTGTGACAGCCAGCTCAAGGTTTGTAACAGGTACTTAGAAAACACAGGTGTGGGGCTTCTAAGGACACCCTGGAGGGAGGTATTAGAACTTGGGCAGTGCTGGGGACAAAGGAATGATGGACTTGACACCCTGGAAGTCCAGCTGAATGGATGTGGACTCAAGGGACCCTCAAGATTACAAATAGATTAGAAGAAAATTCAGGGAGAGGAGGAAGAAGCAGAGAATTAAAAGAGAAGATAATGTGTGAAATCAAAGTTAGAAGAAGTTTTCATAATGGTAGGAAGAGCGCATGACCCGGCATTAAAAGACAAAGTTTATGTAAGGTTCCATGCTGGTTAGCCCATTCCTTTCAAGTATGTTCTCTCTCTCTCTCTCTCTCTCTCTCTTCTCTCTCTCTCTCTCTCACACACACACACACACACCTGCATATTCTTCCTGCCTCCCTCCCTCCCTCTCTCCCTCACTCTCTCTCTCTCTCCCTCTCTCTCTCTCACACACACACACACACACACACACCTGTATATTCTTCCTCCCTCCCTTCCTCCCTCCCTTTCTCTCTCCTCTCTCACACACACACACACCTATATATTGCCTGTGCCATACAACTATGGGTGCTTTTCTATTTTGCTAATGTGCCTATATTTCTAAAGTTCCTACACCTAGCCCAACTCCTTCAACAAGCTACATCTGTGGAAAAGCAGGACATGTATGTCATGGGTGCATCCTTTACATTTTTCCTTAGGACTGGACCACAGGGACTTCTATCTATCTGCTCTGTGTCAGCACTAACTTGGTCCCATTCTTGTGTATCATATCCTAGACCCAACCTTCTCAATTTTGTGTTTCTTAGAAAGGAAACTGAAGGGGCAAGAAAGACCTCTTATTTTCCTGTATGTTTCTGTTTTTCTCAGAACTGTTTATGTCCCTCTCATTTTTAACTCTGTGGGTCTTCCTGTGAGCATCTTCTGGTGTCCCTCACATGGTATGCACAATGAGTGCAGATGAGGGAGGATAAAGAAAGATGATACCTTATGAAGCTTATGGCCACTCAGCGTCCCCTGCTCTTAGAAAAACTGAGGCTAGAAGGTCCCCTGATATTTAGAGCTCTGAATAGAGAATGACTTGCCAATCTTTGTTTATTATTTTCTTCTGTGGTACTGGGGATCAAAGCACTTTATCACTGAGCCACACTTCCAACCCTAAAAAATTGTTTTTGATATCAGTAAAACAATTTCCCAAGAATGAACAAGTCCCTCATTTCCTAAACACATTAA